TTTCAGTTTTCTACAGTAAATGTTATCAACCACAATATTCGTGCTGTAACAAGACAAATTGTAAATAACCAAGTCTCGCCCAGCCATATGAGGGGATGACAGCTCTCAAACAAACATTCCAGACCAGAGGCTTATTCTTGCCTGGAATCAACACCTTGAATTTACCGTAATCTGTGTTTAAAAAAAAAAGTCATGGGTCCTTGATCTAATATTTACACAGAAGATAAAGTAAGAAAGGCACTCTGAAATTACTTTTACTTTTGTAAGGATTTATCCAGGATTAAAGCATAAACGTCCTTCACAAGCAAGTTAAAGAGTAAATGGTGAATACTGTTCAAAGGTTTATTACTTTCATGTAACTGGGAACTTTCCAGTTCAGGTTGTAGATTTTTACTATCATTTTCTGCAGACTTAGGTTATCTAGATAAATCCCAGGTTTTATTCTCAATTTTGACTACAGTGGATGCTTGGCACAAACGAAATCCCTGAAAAGTTACCTCCCTTGGAAAATTTAAAGACTCTGAAGCACTTTTGATGATTGTGTGAGAGTGGGATTTTCCACTGCTTTTAGCTATATTGCAGACACACAACTCCAGACATCAAAGTCGGTTTCACGATTTCAAATCTCGTGTGGGATTCAAGGTCGGGTCATCAGCATTACGCATTAACCACTGGACTAGCCGCCGGTCTCGACGACCGGCAGACACTACACTAGTACATGGCTGAATATGGACCTAATTTAAATGATTGCAACTGTATAGTTCAACACAATCAACAAATTCAATATAATTGCAAATATCCATCTTTTCTTTAAGATATAAAAATACCCATTTAAAAAAAAATATATTGTCAGAATTGTAAAAATGAAATGGCAAGCCCTCTTAACACTTTGACTTGATATATTCCATTTAACACAATCAAAATCAACAAAATCAAAAAGAAACATGACACTGCCTAATTCTGTAATTTCATAGGTGTGTTTGATGGTTTTGGAGAAGATGAGGTTGCAGATGTAATCCAGCTATAAACAGTAGAGGACGTAACGTGTACGCGAGAGACTCATTCGCGTGACTGCCTGATCACAGACAGGGAAATTCTGCATGTCACACAAAAACGCGTCTAAAAGTGTTATTTACGAAAATAATGAAATAACATTTGCTACAGTCATTGATAGGTGTTCAAGTTATTGATTGACATGAATGAAAACGTAAAACGAAAACTTTAAATTGTCGAATGTTGACAAAAATGTGCAAAATTTAAGCAATATTTGACGATATTGAACAGTGAATTTCACCTATGTGTATATTTTTCAGAAACTTACATTTAGTATTTTCTGAAAGCTCATTCATGGCAGATTCCAAATATAAGTGATAAAAGGACATTGTTATTCCGTTTTCAAAATGTTGCTTTAATCTGGATATTCATAGTTAAAACATAGTATAAAAATAGTCTGTTCCAAAATAGTTATGAACACCCGGATTCTTTCATATTATCAGAGTTACCTGACATTGACTTCATGCTTCTTCAAAAACGGACACATACACTCTTTCTCATCATTCTTATTCATGACCAATCATTAATCATGATATCTGACAATCATTTGCTTTATAAACCAGTGACCAATCTTGAAGTTTTAACCTATAACAAACACTAGCGGGCATAGCCAAGTTATAGTTAACTGCCCAAGTATATATCTATTATATGGTCTCTGGCCCCAGTAACCATTATTCAAGCTGTATTTAAAGTCTGCAACTAATGAAGACTGGACAAGGTTCCACACAGTCATTTTGGTGCTAGGACTCTCACATATTTATTTCAAGGTGGGGGGATTAATTATTATGAAAATTAAGTTGAAAGTTTGTGGAACTGGCCAAGGAACACTGAGTAGGTGAGTATGGTTTTACATCGCTTTTAGCAATATTCCAAAATTATCACAGTAGGGGGCACCAGAAATGTGCTTCACACATTTTACACATGTGGGGAATCGAACCCAGGCCTTGAGCATGATGAGCAAATCTTTAACCACTAGGCTGAGGAATAGACACACCAGAGTTTGACAATATCAGCAACAACTACCAAACCATAACATAGGGTTGTGACTAGCCTTGCTCCAAGGCTGTACCGAATGCTGAGCTCATGGATGTATAGTAATTCTATCCTTCGTAGAGGGAAGTCTAGATAAGCGGACAGTACATAAGGCCACCAGTCTGTTATTCATTATTTTTTAGAAATTATCATTTAAACTATTAATTTTTACATTAGGGAATTGTGCAAGTCAACAGTTTGTTGCTTCCCACAATGTAACAACAAAATGTCACTGGAGTATGAAATTTACTATGAACATACAAAATATGTTTTGAAAGAACTTGTTTGTTAAATTTGCCAATGAGAAGTTCTCAAGTGATTTTGAAAAAAAATTCTAATATGAAACTAAAAGAAAAGGACACTTTCCATGCATTGCCACTTTTTACTGAAACTGATCAATTGCAGTTACTGATTTTTAAAGTTCTTACTGCCATTTTGTCACAAATGGAAAGTGAATTTAATTTTTTTCAGAAAAAAGTTAAACCATTTTGTGAATGTGGTGATCTCATGGATCTAGCTATTTATTTCATGACTGATAAACTATTATGCCACAATTGCATTATTTGTAAATGTTTGAAATCATTGTCTTCAATAATATAGTATTGTTGTCTTATTTTCCTTCTTCAGTTCAACAAATTCCACTTAAAACTGACCTTTCTCAGAAGATTATATCATCAAAATACATTGAAGTTTGATGTTTTTGCAAATAAATAACTAACTACATACATAAATAAACAAATAATCGTATGTTAATAATCTTGAAAAACACAAATGGCATGGACAGTCACACTGATGAACTGAATTACTTGTATACTTCATTAAAATAATTAAATATTAGTCTATTTCAGAGGAGTGAAAAAACTGGGGACTGATCTTCTTTCCTGCTTGTCATTAAGTCCATATAGAAGGTAACTGGAAGAGCCACTATGATCAGATTTGTAACACACTGGTCAATCAAGTTAAAGGCATTTTTTCAAGCACATATTCATCCCCCTTTTGATAGGGATATTCTGCAGTTAAACATGTATTTCGTATTTTCATGTATCGCAATACAGGTCAGTGTGAATAACGCATTGTATCGAAAACCATGTATGGCTTTGCATCGGTGTATTGGTACACGGTTTCAATCTCTAAATTATTCTTTAAACACCCTGGTAAGCCAGGCACTCTTTAGGCATTAATTAAAGTTTCAAATTAAAAATTCCTTGTCATAAGAGTTCTGATCTGAATCAACTTTTGGTCTGGAATTATTTTGTGATTATTTAGGGAAATAAAATTTTTCAACTTCATATAATGAGAGACTCAGTACCCTAGAAAATAGTTTTAACTTTACCTATGCCAATACATGGATAAATACATATTTCTTTTATACTTGACAAGATCGTAGTTAACATGTAGGGTACATATATGCTGCAACTACTCTAGTTCATATTTGATATCACAACCACTAATGATACAATCTTCTGGTTGAATGATTACCCCTGATTTGTCCACTCAAGTGAAAATTCACTTTTAACTTTCACTGTGTATGTCGGCTAATGTGTGCTACAAAAATCACATTGTGAATGATAAGAGTTTTAGCTATTATTTCATTCCATTAAAAATTTGAGAAGACATTTATCTTTACAACAATGGTAAAAGTAGAATTTCCAGCCACTTAGTGAGAATATTTCATTTGGGTTAAGAAGTCAATATTTTATTCTTTCTAATAATAAGAGATAGTAATTGTGAAAATATTAAATAGTTTCCAAATTGTCCACTTATGAGTTCCAAATGTGGAATTATGATCACAGAATGTTAACTGTATTTTAGGTTAAAACAAATGTGATTTTGTTAAGAATTTAGAAGTTTGGGGGCATTGATTTAAAGAGATGGTGGAGATAATGAAAAGATTGGAGACAATCGTAAAATTGGAGTCTCACACTACTGAGAAATAATTTTCGCAAATGATAACACAATATCTGAACTCTTTCATGCAGGAGTTTACTGAATCTGGTATTGCAACAGAAATTGTTGATATTTACAGTTGCATGGCCAATAATATTGTAAACAGAGAAATTAGGGTATTAATTAAATGATACATAAATTCTAAATATCAGATAAACTAGGATTCGACAAAGTCAAATATATACTTAATTCATACACTACTCTATGCCCAACAATGGTTGATGACTACTGCTGTTTTCTCAGATTTCTATAGTCGATGTGTCATGGCATTATCAGGAATCACCTTTCAAATGTAGAACATTTTGTTAAAAAACACTGCATCACCATGATAAAAACATATTTTATATGTATCTTAAACCCTTGAAGACGATATTTTAAACTTAATGAGAATTATATGAACATTAACCCCACTACCTTATTTGAGCATTCTATATAATGCTCACCATATTATATACCATGCACCTACTTTATGTATACATTAAAATAAGTTTAACGAAAAGTATAAAAGTATGTATTAAACACCTGTTTTCATCACAGTTTAACCTACTTCAAGACTACATGATGAATCAGTCAACATTCAAAATATCTCACAACCTGGAAGTCTTTAAGACAAATTATTGAAACAATTTAGTGCTATTTCCAGTCATGTTATTTCTTGGGTTAAAATAGTTCCATAAATGTAAAGGGCATGATTTCATATTATTTTAAAATTTCATCAAGGGAAACCGATATTTGTTTTTGATTATAACCACGGAACACATGAAAAATTCTTATCAAGCAAAGAAAAAGCTATTGTCATTGTAGGCTTATACATATTTGATAACAATGCACACTTATACTTATGCACCTGGCAAAACATATACAGTTCACATAACAATCACTGTTGGCACAGATCATAGATCTGGTATAAATATTTTGAGAAAAATATCTTTATTTCATTTTAAATTAATTTTAATGTGTTTACTCACTTCTAAGATTTCTTCCTTCAGAATCTGGTGTTCCTCTATCATACAAGTCCCCAGGCTCGGACAGGTTTTCGGAATTTGTGTCGCAGCCAGCAGAACTTATACTAGAAGGACGTTCTTCCTTCACAATAAAAGGTGTGGAGTCCCTTATGCTCGTGGAGTCTGGGTTCGACTCACTAAAATTTGGATCACAATTTTCGCTGCTACTATAGTGACATCCCGAATCGTCCAATTTCACCTTCTTGGCTGGTGTAAACGCAGACTGGTAGTTCTCTACCCCCTCAGAACTGTTCGGCCCCAGGGGGCGAAATGCTCCCCCAACCCCAGGGCTTATGAGGCCCACACCCCTGTCCAAGTTGGATCTGACGAAGGGAGGGAGGGGGGCATAGATTGGTGGGGAGAATGGGTCCCCTGGTCTGTACATAGTAAATGCAGTGGTATTGAAAGGTGTAGGCATATCCTTGTCAAGTCCCTGTCCTTGGAATGGATGGGACGAAGGCATTCGAGCCGCTTCATGTCCCTCTGCAGTTGACGCTAACACCATGAGCGCTGGAGATGTCAACGGATTCGGCACAAATGATGTGTTCTCCATTCCTGCGTTTCCTGGTGGAGGGGTAAAGAATGGTTTAGGCCACAAGTTAAATCGAAACATGGCGAAATCGGTCAAATTACTCATGGCAAGAGTGCAATATCAAAACAGTTTTCTCAGATTTTCTGAGTAAATATTTGCCAATACAAAACTACTGGGATGACACTGTTGTCACAGCAGTGCTATCCACTAGTCACATCAGCTGTAGTGAGATGAGTGTAAAAAGTCCAAGAGCTACATCCTACTGTGGCTTGTCGGAGAGCTGAACTTGTGTCTGTCACCCCACAGTTCACTTTACACACTGATCAGTCCGTCCCAGCACTTACACTACAACTCATTTGACACAATGAATGGGCTTCCATATATGGGAACCCCCGTGACGTCACACTCTACCAATCACTTTGGAATACACAGTGAAAATAACACAAGTGTTAGACAACGAAAGGGCAGTTAAATATGAGAAATAATGGCTAACCATAAATCTACTTTGATTAGGTTGCTAACTTGACACCCATTGATTTGACAAATAGAAGGATGAAAGCGGATGAGCGCGGATTCGTTTTACTCCTGTTTGTAAACAATCCAGCGCGCTCAGTTGGCTTGCTCTATGACCTATAATTACTCGACGAAAATTGCAAGTTTAAGCCAACAAAACAAGAAAATAATTGAATATTCAGAAGGATAAAAGGTGGACTCGATAAGTGATTGGCATATGATCATGTATTTCAGATCGATGACAATGAATATTGACAGATAGATATTGGGTATACCTACTCGATACTCCCAACTTCTAGTGGTCGCCCGGCCTCGTTTTCGATCCGGGGATGTCCTCGCGGGCATTATGGGAAGGGAGGGATTCCCCGACCCACATTCACTTCCGTATGTGATAGCAGACGAATCTCTATGGGTTGGACACCTTAAAATGGAAAATGTTGTAAATTATGTGGTTATTTATTTCCCAATATGTTGTAAAATGTTACTTTTGTATAATATGTAAACTGTGGATAGACTTAAACATTTTCATAGCTGACAAATTCAAGATGGATCTATCGTGTATTTGTCTCGTTTGGAAGCATTTCCAGGCATCAGCTTGTTTACTTCTGACTTTAGTGTTATTTTCATCTTGAATTCAATCATTGAAAATAACAACTACATTCAATTATCACGCGTACAATTCATTTTTTTGGTGATAAATACATGTACATTTATTGCTTTGCTAATGTCGTTACTTTCCCAGTGAAAAATCATATATATGTATTCTGTTAAAATATTTATAGGTTTTGGAGGTACATGTAATTGTATCGTGTTTTCGTTGTAGTGCTAGGTTACAAGTGGATACAAATTGTACTAAGAAACGAACACTTCTCGTGTCTGCGTCAGCGATAAACATGTAAACTTTATGAGGTGGTTCGATGTGATATGAACGTGTCATTTAACCAGAATTACACATATCTCCAAATATCAAAGTCGTAACCGCGGCTGGTAACGTTTATGTATATTTGTAACGCATCACTAAGGACCAACATATAGCCCCAGAAATAGAGTTATGTATTTAAATAAAAGCCAAATGGAACCCAGAGCAATGCTTACTTTCAGGATTTGCTGAGTCATTCGAGACTTGGGTGAGATTCAAAACGGTCGTTGTGTCTCATGTTAATATTGTGGGATGTGCAACACCGTAGTTTATCAACAGTGTGCGCTTAGCTTATATTACGATAACAGTGTTAATTTGGGAGATGCCACTCCTAGTATGTTGGGTAAATTTGTACATCTTCGATTGTCAAGGGTGGTTAAAACTGCAAGGTTTAACCTATAGGTATCATAGTTTTGTTTGGGACTTTCACTCAGTCTATAATCTGTCTAATACTGTTTTCATAATGCTCCTATGTGTTTGGACAAATTCAGTTTCTATGCGTGTACTTTATTTGTATATATGTGCGGTGGGGTAGCCTAGTGGTTAAAGCGTTGGCTCGTCACGCCGAAGATCCGGGTTTGAATCCCCACATGGGTACAATGTGTGAAGCCCATTTCTGGTGTCCCCCGCCGTGATGTTGCTGGAATATTGCTAAAAGCGGCGTAAATCCAAAGTCAGTCAGTTGTATATATGTTCTAATATACTAAATAGAATGCACATACAGCACCCAAGATGTTTTTGAACATCATATCAACACTTTATAAATCAATTAAGTAGAGGCGAGTGTTTCTTTTTGTCATTCCAGCTGTTCTATGCATTCATGTTCCCTGTGCTAAATGTACATGGTTAAATAAAGTTTACGATAATTTTCAAACGGATCGTTACTGCTTACTGTAGGGTCGTACTCATTGTGGCAGAGTAACTATTTGCCTGTAAATATTTGACCTCTCACTTTTCATGTGAGAGAGGGGCAGACATATTGAATAGAGACATGTGTTTTGAAATTAAAGGAATCGTTGAGATCCTATATGTTCTTATCCACGCTGACTTTGTACTACCCTACCAAACCACAACCCTAAAATACCTTCCCTACACTAACCTCAGCAACCCTTTCCAAACCCTATCGAACCCATCTCACCCAATATAAACCCTCAACCCCACCATAGCCTATCCCATCAAACCCTACTCTACCCCACCACAGCCCATCCTATCTCACCCTACCCACCCCACCACAGCCCATCCTATCTAAACCCTACCATAGCCACAGCCCATCCTATCTAACCCTACCCTACCCCCACCACAGCCCATCCTATCTAACCCTACCCTACCCCACCCTACTGAACTACAGCTTAACCCACCTAACCCTACCCTACCCCACAAGAGCTATCCCATCCCACCCAACCGCTTGAAGATACCCTTGTTCCACTTGAATCTGTTTTGACCAACTACATGCATACCATACTTTACTCCACTCTGCCCTTACCTACTTTACCACACACTATCCAGCCCGGACCCACCAACCTTAACCCACCCACTGTACCTGAAGATCCCCTTAATCCACCCGACACTTCTCTAATCAAGTACCATCCTGCCATACACAACTCATCGTACCTTACCTTAGTCTACAGAAATCATCAAGACCATACCATCCCAACACGACAACAAATTCACTCCCCATGAACAAATTCTAGAACTACATAAAACCCCACAGCCAGGCGACGTTGATGAATCCGCTTCATTGTTTTCCAAATTTGAAACGACTATCAAGAAAAGTTTTAAAAATTATTCATGTCCGTGTTTAAATCTGGAAAGTCAAATTACATGATATGTTAATGAAATTTTTGATCAAGCTGAAAAGTTTTCGCCTTAAAAATATAAGGGGTTCCGAGGTGGAATGAATTTGAATGCGTTAGTTCAACTATAGAATCACCTTCAATACTCGTCATGGCCGGTACACGTGGGGGGAACTCTTGGGTCGCCGACTAAGGGATTTCTAACGCTGAGGACTGAAATTTTATGTTAATAAATTCTGTCTGTGAAAGACTTGAGCAACAAAAGAGCAAATAGTTTAGACTTAGATGCGAGTTTTGAAAAAAACGTTCGCGTCATAAAATTCTCGTCAAGAGCGTATTGAGTCCTTAAGTCAACATATTTAGGCTGGGGTATCAATAGAGGTTGATAAACCAATCATTTCATATTCCACGAGCGCGGCCGATGTTTTTAATTTTACGCATGAATATTGTCGAATATAGTAGTCTCCTTCAAATGAAGCCGAGCAAGTCTGTCAGGAGTTGTTTGGGTCTTCAGTCCCTATTCCAAGTCAGTCTATTCCAGCCGCTACCCTTTGTATAAGAAACCCTTCCCTTGTCAAAGTTCCAAGTCAGTTTCAAGTCGTTTGAAACGATCCTCCGGCGCAGATGAACATTTTATTATAGACAGCATAATAAAGTGACAGGAGCCATCTATCATTTACGGATTCGTTGCTCGCCGCTTTTCAGGCATTGTGCCCCTTTCTGTGAGCAGAGGAAGCTCCATTGATGGTGACACACTTGTATAGGAATCAGCGGAACAGCCATTGACTTGCTTTAGTCCGTGTTTCTGACGGGAGTCTTTAAGTTGTAATCTGTTTTATTACAGAATCACCGAGTCTCCTTTGAAACAAGATTGGAGAGTTCAGGCTAACCCGGGTGGGCGATTTGTTACAGCAAAGAGAGCGAGCTGAGTGATCTGGAGTGTCACGGATAGCTAAATGTCAGCATCGCCTTGATAGTGAGGCCACGTGTTAATTTTAACTACAAAATTACTTCCACGGCTCATTTTGACAGAGGGTCAATATTTGCAGATTTAGAAAATTTGCATATCGTCAAAATCACGAGCTGACAACTGAGTTTTATCTTAATCCACATTGTCGTCTGCTCGTCTTTTCCCTGCCACGCATTTGGGTGAAAACAATAGACATGCATAGGGGTGAAGGGTAGGGCGACACTACTTGACTCGGTGTCCCCCTTGTCGAAATCAGCCAGCCATGCTTCCCCTTTTGGAGTATCTGTACACACATAATTAATATTTGATTAAATCAAGTCACATCTCTCTCCTAATGGTGTGTGACACATCTATGATGAGGAAAGGGATAATTACAGCGAACCAGTTTCTGAGCTCCCCTCTGAACAAACGCTCGTATACGTCATTATGACGTAAACTATTTCGAATTAATGAAGCGTAGGATCCTATATCATTTGAGGACAATGCGTGATGAAGTCATCAGCAGGAATCCCCAGCAATGGAATTATTTTCCAATCAAAATTACTCACTCGTTTAGAGATAATGATGTAATAATTATCATTTGAAAAAGTGTCAGAGCTTCTGTGTGTGTAATCACGCACATTAGGCCTTAATCGAGACCAATAAACTAACAAGAACGGTCTTTAATAAGGTATGGACAGTTGACAGAATTAAATGTTAACAGATGATATAATGTTTATCAAATGACGTAACTTTATCTGATTATAATTTCAAATCTGTACATTTATATATCTATAGGTGAATAGTACCCAATACTCACCTCGCTGTGTCAGATATGATAAACATTTTAATTTTATAAAGATCCCATAAATTTGTTCATCATTTGGGTACAGGGTAAACAGGTGAAATGTTTTACAAGATGAAAGTACCTCATAAGTTTATTTAAAACTGAAAATTGAAAATAATATTTATGATATGGACTATAGAGCTTTAAAGGTTGTAGCCCTTTTCTAACTTACTGACTGACTGAGTTTGGTTTTACGCCGCTTTTAGCAATATTCCAGCAACATCACGGCGGGGCACACCAGAAATGGGCTTCACACATTGTACCCATGTGGGGATTCGAACCCGGGTCTTCGGCGTGACGAGCGAT